ATCTACTAATGAGAGTATTGATGAAGATATTAACTTTGAGATAATAAAAGTGATATGAGAGTAAAAGTTATAATCAAAATATAAGAATAATAATAGTATTTATATCATTTATAAGTAATTTTTATTGATGAAATGGAAATAAAAACATAGACATAATTTAATAAGTTGTATAAGTAATGATAAAAATATGGTCGGTATATGTACTATAAAATTTTAGATGAAAAAATATGCATACAATGAAATATATTGGAAAATATTTTATCTAATATTGGTATTAAATTTGTTCAAGATTAATATTTTTTATCAGCGTTTCTTATATGTCAATATCTTTTTGTTTGTTTAGAATTTTACATGGAAAGTTTTGCATCAGAAACCTTATCATTGCAATTATTTATATTTTGGTAAAAACAAGTGTGAGGATATTTTTTCAAAATTATTTATATCAATGCAAAAAAAATATTCAAGCATAATCATTTTAATAATATTTGTAGTTACTAAATAATATTATATGCATAATCAAATGGATGATAGCAAGTTGTGTTAAACAAAATTTGCAGAATTTAAAAGTGATACATACCATAGTGAAATAATAAATATAATATTACAGTTACAAGAGTTTATAAGAGAAAAATGTAATTTCAAAAAATTTTTGTAGAATATGCAAATTTTTAAAATTTTATTTTGAGGCGAGAAATAAATAAATCTCATTTTGTCATAATTTATCAGAAATTTCATCATTTAAATATATTTTCATTAGAAATCTTATCAATTCACATTGTCCTTGGACTGATTAAATTTTGTTCACATTTAAGAGAAAACATAAAGGCATTTCATGAAACCTAAACCAATCTTGTACTGAAATATACAATTTCTTTCAGCGATGACTAAACTTCACAAGTTAATAATGACAAGCATTTGCATCTACAAAAATACATTGTATTTGTTCTAGTTAAATTTGCAACTATAATCTTCAATCAGCATTGACAACAAAGAGTATTTCTTGAAATTTTATTCAGAAAAGCATTATTTTATTTTATTATTAGATGATGTACACAGTTTTTTGTAATATATCTGCACTTACAAGTCTACAATTTTTAACTTCTATGGCAAATATTCAGATGGCTTCAGTTCTTAACTGGTACTTGAAAAATCTTCAATGCTTCATATTAAAAATAATGACTGAAAGTGAAACAATATGAAAAAATATTACAGAAGAACAATTATGTAAATAGGAAATATAAATCTACACAATAAAATAAACAATGAAAAAAGTTATAGAAAGCATACAAACTTTTTATATTACAGAAAAGGTTACAATTAATTTCTGGAAAGATATATGGTTTATATGATGAAGATAAAAAAATAAATAGTTATATATTTGTAGAAATGTTTATTAATATAAACATGAATATCAGTGAAAGTTAATATGAAGTCACATCATCGCCAGCATAATGCTATATACTTTCTACGGGTATATTCATTTTATATTTTGCTAAAACAATCACCGTAATCTAAATATGATAGAGACGAATACGATAGAATATGCAAATTCTGCTAGTTCTGCTTTCAACTTACACACACTATTCATGAATCAGCATGCGTAAATTATCTGAGGTATGTGAGTAGAAGCACGCATGTATGTGTCTATGTTTGGTACGTGTAAGCACATATTATCCAGCATTATATATGCAACGTGTTAAGCACAAAAAGCATGAAAAACGAAGAAGCATGAATTCAACTAAAAGAACATTCAAAAATTTTTTTACGTGTGATCTGTTTGTGATCATGTTTATGCGTATGCGTGTGTTGTATGAATCTGTTTTTTCATGTACTTTTGAATCCGTCGTGTTTGTTTATATTTGTTTAGATTCATGTGTATAAATGTGCGTTTGTCTGTGTTTTACAAGTATGCGTGGATCTGCTTGTGTCTGTATATGTACATGCGTACGCATGCATGGAGGACTATACTATCTGTGCACGTGCGTGTGTATGTGTGGAGAAAGAAAGGAGGTTAAAGCTTGCAGTTATCAGATGAAATTTACATTAAAATGGAATATGCTTTTCAATATTTTTTTTAGTTTACAACAATATCCAGCATTATTAGACATGACAAGCATAAATATTCACTTCTATTCGTTCAGCTTGTTCTTCTTAGCTTTTTATAACGGCGAAAATGGATACTAGTCAGTTTTTAGTGTAACTTCCATTAATATTAACATATTGGATGTGTTAGAGCTTGATAAGAGTTAGCTATTTTTACTTATAATAAGCAATGCAATTAATATGAAAATATAAATGATATAAATTACTATTAATACGAAAAGTTAAGAATTTATCTAGTCCATATATAAAATGCACCACCAATTTATTTTGTGTTTCCTAATTATAATTTTGGTATCAAATTAAAGGTGAAAAACATATCTGGAAGTCTTCCTTGGAAGCAAAGTGTGAAAAATTTTATAGTTTTTTTTTTTCCAGTAAAATTAAATTTCCAGGCGCGCAGAAACGATTAATTATTCACCCCAAAAATCTTGCTAAGATTTGTTTTGTAAAGTCCATGCAATCCGTTTGATTTTTTACTGTAATTAAATTTCTTGCATTCTGATTCGTGCTTTCGGAATATTTAGCAGAAAAATTTCTTATAGTTATTTTCTAGTCCTCGCTTGGAATTTTTTGTTGTAAAATGACAGTATATAATTTTTTTGTGAGTGCTAAATGCTTTATGTGCGAATTATTTGAATGAAGCGGAGTGAATACAAAAGATCCAATATGTCAGTGTCAAAATTCGTAATCTAAATAATGTGGATAGAAAATTATTCTTTGCTATAAACATTGTGATTATCATTTTCTGCTAGAAACCGTCTATATTATGAACAAATTAAAATTTGAATCAAAATGCTTAGTTGGCAAAAAAAAACACTAAAAATGATGTTTCAATTCATTTAGTTTGCAAATAATTACAGTGAAAACCTGTAATAAAGTGAAAAAACTATCAATTTATGAAAAACTATTAGATTTTGTAGTGGTTTAATACTAATTAATTAATCCAGTAATTATTTCTCAATAATTTTTTGAAAGCTGAAACATGTTTTTTGCAAAAAAGTTTGAAAAAGTTATTAGCCACCAAGATAGCTTGATATCGGATCAAACTCAGCCCAATCAGTTCATAATAATTTCATATACGTAGCATATTAGTGAAATAAATCATTTTTAATTATGTTAACGCTTTTTTGTTCTCAGAGCAGTGGTTAAGCATTTATCCGAAGTAATTTCAAGTTTCATCAAATCAAGTTTATTTCTCATTTTATTTTCAGCCGTAATTTATTGTAAAAAAAATACTTATATCAATTGAGTTACATTTTTTTTAACCTTATGTGGTTCAAGTTTCTTGCTTGGTAATTCTTAGTCTCAAAGACTACTTCACTTTGCTCGAAAAAATATAAGACTTAAAAAAATATCACATACATTTATTGAAATACATTCTTTTGCAAATATTAATACGATCAGATATGGTTGTTTGATTACTGATCGATCAATCAAAATTAAATCTTTATTAAATCTTTTTTTGTAACATTTATGTTTAATAATCAATCGAAAAGCCTCAAATAGCATCGTGAATCGAAAGTGTGTCTTGATAAAACAGTGCTGTTGAAAATACTTTGCGCTTTATGAGAGCATAAAAAACACAAAATAGATAAATAGATAAATTGATAAATAGCTAAAAAGATAGCTGGATAGATAGGTAGATAGATAGATAGATAGATAGATAGATAGATAGATAGATGAATGAATAAATAAATGAACAAGTAAATAAATAAATAAATAAAATAAGTAAATAGATTTTTGCTGTATTGTTTGAGGAAATGGATCATTAGAATAAGAATTTACTAAAGGATAGTTGCCTTTATGCTATCAGCAATTATTTATCTTATCACTTGGAACTGCTAGTAGTTAGTGTTCTAAAGGTGGTCCAATTTCACTGTGAAATATTTATTGCTGTAAAGCAGTTGTGTCGGTTACTAAAGAAAGTTCTATGCTATCCGTTGCATATTCATTGCTTTTAGCAAGTTTATACTTGAGTGTTATGCTTAAATGTTATGAAAAAGTAGCATTTTCTGCTGCAGATTTTAGCTACTTTATATCTTGTAGTACACAAAATTTTAATACAAACTTTATCATATCGTGTCATTTTGCATTTTTGCTGCTTTAGCTCAAAATGAACTATTTTCATCTCATGGCCTTCAATGTGCCAATTTGGATGGTGGCTTCTGTCGTTGCGTTCTCAGAACAATACATCATCCAGGTTCTCAGCATTTTACTATTATCCCATTTCTACTATTACTATGTCAATATTTTATGCTGTACTGAGTCATTTTGTTGATTGTGTTGATCAATTTAACTTTAGTCGTAATTGAAAACTTAAAAACTAATTGAAAACTTACTTAACACATCAAAACTGCAATGAAAACAACGTTCGTCAGAATGCAAAGCCTCTTTTCTACTTTTATGCTTATTTTTTATATCAAGTCGTCGACAGTTGCTGAAAAATCATAAATAATAATATTTTTCTCATCTTTCATGAGTGAATACATTTCCTCTTTTTTGATTTCTGCCTCACTTGACCTTCTTCAAAAAACTTCCAACTTCTGAAATACAAACACCACTACCAATAACGGACATTTTCTCTTCCTTCTAGTTTTGAGTTCGTTCCTATTTGTCGTCAATTAGGTCCAGACCTTCTGTATCTATTTCACGCAAATATCAGATGGAAAGTTTTGATAATAATTTGTAAGCCAAATTAAAGTTTTATAGATAATTATATCAGTATACTGATTTAATTTAATTTTTAGATTGAAGTACTTGTTGACTCTCTCTGTGAACAAAACTAAGCAAATTAAATGAGGGAAAAGCTTGAACTATCATGTACAGTATAGAATCTTATATAGTTTCTAGCAGATTTTTCAAGCTAAGCTTTTCCCTCATCTTAACACTTGTCGAAAATGACTAATACGTTTTTCTGCTTAGAAATTACTGTTAATTACAACAAATATCAGTAATTATTATATTTTTGAATAATATCATAATATTTTCTTGTACTGAAACTTGTTTCGATAATTTTCCGTGAAAATGAAAAGTATTAATGAGATGCAATAACAAATTTATGATTTACTTCTTATTAAGCTCAACTTATCTTTATATTTAACATTGTAGAATACTTCAATATTGTGCAATGAAACAAAACCATGGAAACTTGGTAGTCGAGACATTGTTGCTGACTCAAAAGGATTCGTTTTACTAGTCGCATTCATGCCTGTTGAATGCGAACATTGTCGTAAACAATTGATGAAGTAAATTTATTTCTAACGACATCGATGAAAAAATTTCGAATAGTTTTGGGGACTAAAAGTTGCATTTATTTGGCATATTGTTGAAAAAGGATTGTGATTAATTAGGTACGATAATTTATAGGTTTCAAGCAATTATGGAGACAGTAACAGAAGTACGAGTTATTGTTGTAGCACCGTATGACGCAAATCCGCGATTGATTGAACGTTATAGAGAAGAATTTCCTCGTGTAGTAATTGGCATGGAATCAGTAAATGAAAAAATTTGGAATTCTGTTTCAGCTTTGGCTCATGATCACTTCATTTATGATAGGTGGAATATTAAAGTACCTTATTGAACAATGAATTATTGCCAACTGTTAATTTTGGGTTTTAATTAATTATGTGGCTATGTGATACTTGAATACTATCTACTTTCTTTAGATGTGGTCGTTTAGCCAATGTTATAAGACATCCAAAGAGCGATACATCAAAATTCGAGGATACTATGCGAGCATTAAAATCAGCGGTTAATTATGCGCAGTGTGGTTGGTGTCAATATGATCCACCACAACTACCAACATCTCAAAGGTCCATTATTCCAAACATCGGAACAAATAAAATGAAAACAGTGGTAAGAGTTTTTTAGACTTGATGATGGATAAACATTTATAACCTGAATTCTATACATGGTGTGAATAAGTTTTTAGCTGATAAATGATAACTATCGTCTCATTTTTGAGTATAAAGTTAGTAACAAACATGTGTAAGCATTATGGCAATTTAAAATTAGTAAGGTATGTTCCAACTGCAGTATATTTAAATCAAACTACAATTATTTTATGGAAATTCATCCTAAGCAAAAGTAAGTTAATTTTGTTATCTTCATTCCATCAAATTCTGAAACTATTTATGCTGCCACTCAAATACTGAATCAAAAAGAAGCGATTCAATAATTTGTTATAATAAAATGATCATTATCAGTATGTTGAGGGACATTTCAACTTAAGTAGTGATAACTACAAGTAAAATTATATCCTGAAATATCAAAGCAAATAATGCAAATTCAAATCAGCATGATACACGAATTATCATCAATTAATTTTTGCACATCAAATCAATTCAAATTGACATGAAAATAAATCATTATGAATAACTAAAATAACTTGTAGTTCAAACAGACTAGTATATTCCTTTATTCAATAAATAGTTATTCCTGAGTAAATATGAATCAGTTAATCTTTCCAAAGGAAAATTATAATTTTTTGAATTAAAATAGTATACTAATAAATGATAATAATCGCATCTTCAGAAATTTTCTGGATTAAATCTTATTAGAATTGTTAAAAATACAATTATTCTATAATTAAAAGTATGACTCCATTTTGTAAACACAAACACACAAGCTAAAAAGCAAACTAAGCAAAAGTGTATAGTTATGAAGTGCTGCTTAGGTATATTATATGCTAAAGTACTGTGCATCTTCAGTGACAATTCTTGAAAAAAGAATTTAGTTTATAAAATAATGATCTGATTTAAAGAAGTTTTTACAGCTTTTCCATTTATAATTTCTTTTCATTGCTATTGGATTATTAAACTCTATCATATCAAAAAATTATTAGCATTAATTACCAAGAAAGAACTTTATTATTTAATGCTTTGAATAAAGTCAAAATCCATTGTAGAAAGATTAAGTTGAACTAGTCATTAAATGGTAACTTATTTTTTAATAGATATTTAAATCAACTTTTTTCAGTCGGAGCAATCTCTGGAAGAATGTGAGGCAAGATTACTTTTTAGAAACTTTAACATCCTTATTTGAAGTTTCACGTGCATCATTTCATATTAATAACACTTTTTTTCAATGGTGCACTTTCTTAAATTTCCACTTGTTGCACTTGGCACTGTAATATTTATTCACTATAATTTTTGGCAATTTGCACTCGACGTCACAAACTATTGTAATTATGATATAATACGTGGAAAAAACAGTCAAGGTAGTCAAAATACTATAGAATTTATTTATATATCAAAATTACTAAATGAGTGTATCACTGCTCATTTTTAAAACTAACGTGAAGGTTTCAGTATTTTGTGTGTAAATGTGAATACTGCTTTTATATTTTATTCAAATTTAACGAAAACTTTTCATACAACTGATTTTTCATCAGATATAACAATGAAATTCGAGAAAGTCTGAAAATGTAATTTGACACAATTGAGCACCCCTTCTGCCATTAAAGAGATTGTATTGCAACTAATCATAGCATTTTTTGTAACTTTTAGACTAGTAAAGTTTTCACAAATCATGCAATAAATAATAAACAGAAATTAACTAATAAAGTTGCAGCGCATCAAAGCAGTAATGAAATCACAAAAATCGCTTGCAAATGGTATGACATCTTTGACTAGCTCTGATGATCAACTTACATCCACGCTTAACCGAAAACAATCTGACGTAAAGAAGAGTAATACAGTTGCACCAATGCATGAAACTCAATCAAGCGCATCTACAAAATACATCTCGTCTTCTTCACATGGTATAAAAACTGGTCAAGGACCGATTATGGATAATGAGCAACAACAACAATATCATTATCAACAAGAGAGACATCGACAGCAACAACAACAACAACAACAACAACAACAACAACAACAACAACAACAACGACAACAACAAAGTGTTCAACGTAATCAAGACGAGTATTCCCAGCAAAATCAAGCAAGGTATTAGGGAACTCAGATTGTATTTGCTAAATTAACGTCATTTACAGCAGCTTACATTTGCCACTTACAAATAACTTGAAAGAAAATGATAACAAGCAGCAATACTGAAATACATCAAAAGTTGACATTTTCTGGTAAAATAAGACTGAAAGCAAATAAAGAAATTAGCGATCAAATTTAGACAGAAAATAGCTTATTTTTGAAAAATAGAATCAGAGGGTAAATAGATATATATGCCAATCATTGTAAATAGATATATATGCCAATCATTCATTCACCTTTTGCTTATTATTTATTAAAATTCGAAATTAGAAATTAATAAAAAAATAATTACAGATTTGATAATGATCGACGAACGATACTGACATCAGTCAATGATTTCTCGAAAGGAAGAGCATCAAAGTTTCAGTATGATGAAGGCAAGGATGAAAAATTGCGAGAACTCCAACTACAAGAACGCAGGCAAGAAATTCTACGAGAACAAATTTTACTGCAACAACAACAAAGAGCTCGAGAACAAGAAGAACAGCAAAAAATACAGCAGCATCAACGATTATTGCAAATGCAACAACGGCATCGTGAAAGAGCACGTCAATTTGAACAAGTGACCTTTCATTCACGCAGTCTTGTAATTTCATAGTAAGAGAAGTTGCTAATGCGGTTTTTACTTTAAAACATTTATTGAAATATATATTGAATTTGGAACATCTCTTTCTGTTTTTTGAAATATAAACAATAGTAAAATCAGTAGAAAGTAGCAAGTAAAGTCCGTTTGATTCGCAGGAAGTTGAGAGAAGAAGAGAAGAACTGCAAAGGTTACAGAAGCAACAAAAGGCAGAAATAGATCTCTATATGGATGAGGAGGACGAAGAGCTTGAACATGAACGTGAAAGTGATCAAAAAAGCGAAGCCTACTTCCATCAGCAAGGTCACGTTTACAAACTTTATTTGTATTAACAATACTATTTCATAAGTCAGAATTCAGCAAATAGAAATCATAAAATTTTAGCTAGAGTTGCTAAAGAAATTATTTAAAAAACTTGTTATCAATGAAAGTATTTTCAAGAAAGTTACTTACAAATAACTTTTCTGCTTTCATTAAACTTCCTTCGTCACAAAAAATTTAATCAAACGAAAAAATGAATTTGCCAATATTGTACAAAGATTTGTGAATTGTTCGCGTAGTGAACCAAAAATAAATCGAGTAATTTGCTAACCAGGTACTAATTGTTCTGATTTTTCATCAATTATGATATTTAAGAATGCAAAATATTATATTCCAAATTACTTTCGGTTATCAAATTAGATGAAAAAAATTTTCAGGTCTGGAAAGCTTAACCACAAAATCTTCATTTCCTGAAGAGGTAGTAGAAAACGATGACGATTATCTGCAAGTAGTCAGTAAAACAACCGCTTTGCCATCTGCGAGGGTTAGACTTAAGTTCAGTTCAGTCACTTTTCTCAAGATTAAAGCATATTATGACAAATGCGCTCAATGCTTCAAAGTTTTATTAATTAAGCATGCATAAACTTCTGCTTTGTATACTAGATAAAAGTGTTTCTTATTATTATTGTGGTCTCACTAAAAATCAGTAATTGAAAAATTGTTTTGCATTTCTCAAATAAATAACAATACCATAAAAAGAACTGAATCAAGACTGAAATATACTTGTATGCCATTTTAATTCTCATTCGATAAAAATTTTGTTGATTTCCCAGAAGCAAATTGAAAGTACTGAACCACCGGGATATTGGTCAACTTCATTTCTATTTGAACAAGTTCCATGCGCTGCTTTCACCGATCAAATATGTTTGCAACAGGTATTCACATTTATATGCTGCAAATCATACAGTTTTCTACAAATTACGAATTGCCAATGAGTCATACTTTTATTTTGTAGAAAAATGAAAATGGCGCGGATAAAATGAATAAATGTTGTGATAAAGGCGTTTACCTCACTGATTTATGCGTACCTGGACGATGTACAAATGTCACGGTTGAGCTCTGCTGTATGCAAAAATTCCTTCAGGTCTGATCATTCCTTTACGAACTTAACTTCGTAGCAAATCACTTAATGAGAAATACTACTAAAGACATCAGTATTTTTCTAAAATCATTCAACCAGTACTTTCCAAAATTAATTTTTACAACTCTCAATTTGATTATTATTGCTATATTTGAACAATGTAATAGCATTTTGAGTGAATGAATAAATGTAACCTTTAAAAAAATCAGTGAATTTTTGATTACTGACATTTAAATGGTTGGATCAAAGATAAAGATCATGACATTGACAGAAAAATATATTTGTTAAATTTTTAATTTTGAAATATTTAATTAATATTTGCAGTCTAAATATCGATGTTGTAAAAATAACAGTAAAGCAATCAACTCTCCCGGTGATTCATTCAGCCGTTGCTGTTTCGAGAAATTTGTTGAGGATGAAGTTGCTTTTTTTTATGAAAAATTACTGAAAGAACATTTTTTGACATAATTTTGATAGTATCATCATCTACACTTACTATATAATATTCGTTTTTGCTTTATTCTTATTGTAACGAAAAGTAATCATCTAAATTTTCAAAAAGTTTCTCAAAAAAAAGCCACTTCGTAAATAAAACTTTCAGGAAAAAAAGATAAACATAAAAGAAGTTGAGCATTCTATCAACAAAATCTCATTTAAAAAATAGTTGATCAGTGATTAGTTAAATTTTTATATACATTTAATATTTTCTCAAAATTGGCAATTTTTTAGGATACATGTTGTCCATCACAGCGTGCAAAATTTCATTGGTTATCGTCAAACGAAGTGTGCTTACCCAATGTTCGAGTTGATCTTAGCAATTTGCAGTATACTATAAATACAGCTATCAAAGGTCAAGACTCAAAAACTGATAATAATAAAAAAGAATCGCTTCTACCCAATATAATAACAATAGATTTAAGTATAGATAAGTCGTGGGATTATACCTGTGAACAAGGTAGTAATGTCTTGCAGTTTCCTTATTTACCCAACAATGAAAAATTAAATGAGAAGACAGAAAAATGACAGTCCTAAACTGAATAAATATTTTGAATCTTTTTCGAATTATCGATTAGACAAGATTTTTGAAAATTTTACAATTTTTCGCTATTTTATCGTCTTGTGATTTTCAGTAGTGCTTCTGATTCGTTATCAGGAAATGTAGCTAAGTTTCTTACTCGAAAAGTGTGAACTCAGGTTAAAGTTCTACTTTTTTGGTTGTTATCCTACTCAGTACAAATAATGTATATATGATTAAAAAGATTCTGCCTGTGATTCCTTTCAAAACTAAACAAATTCCATTTTTCGTCTACTTTTTTCTACTTACTTGATCAGTTCATTTCATCGGTACATTTCTGCGCCAGTGAATCAATGATTGTTCTTTGTTAGTTATGGCCCTTAAAATGTTTGATTTGATATATACATATATATATAAAGAAAACTAAATTGATAAAGAAATTTACACTAACTGAGATTGAAAAGCAGCACTATTTTCACTGTTTTCATAAAAAACACTTTGAACTGCATTTAAAATCAATCCTAGATTTGATGAATGAATTTTTATTTGAACTAATAAGTGATGCGCTTGTCACTCTGTGAGTTGCAAAATTAAGCTAACCACTGTTACGACATTAAGGTTATGAAGATGGTAAGGAGGAGGTGGGAGACTCGAGAAGTGGCCTAATGTAGCAGAGCTGAAACTTGTTTGGACTGATTAGGCTGCGAGTAATCGAGCCAAATTCAGTACATTAACTTCAGCTATGCCAACATCTTGCCTTGTCCCGTGTCCCATAATGCTCATTGCTTGATACGTAGTAGCAAGGAGTGTTTTACACGTCTTGATAACACAAGCCTGCTTTGTTTGAATAACATGTAACTTTCAGTAAATTACCAAAGCTTAGTGAGGAGATTAAGAGGGTAAGTGATTATGCTTGAGAAGAATAAAATAAATGCAATACAGTTTTTCTCAATAGTCTGAGTAAAAGCAATGTATGAAGAATGCTAGGATTGAGAAAGTGAAGAATGGTGAGTGCGTGGCAGAATAATCGAGAGACAGCCGTCTCGGAAGTGCCTTTTCAAAACTACTGCCATCAAAATGAACATCTCACTTAGGTAAGTAAGTAAGTACCACATCTACAACTCATTTCTGCCTTCCATCGGCTAGTATTTGCTTAGGTTTGATTAAATGACGAGGCGAAGTACTCTGATACACTTTCTAAGTCAGCATTTTGAAAAACGGTAAAATTAACGTGAAATCCGGCACTGTCTTGCTCACAATGTTTGCTGAAGGAGGGCCGTCCTTACATCAAGACTGCTTCATTTACCTTTTTCAATTTCAGCTGTGTACCTTTTCACTTTGAGTAATGTTACTCCGTGCCATGTCACTTCTTCCTTTTCTACACAAACATACCTTCCAACCTACCTACCTACCTATCTACCTACCTTACCTTTATTTTACTTTCCACTATTGTAACTGTCACTTTTCGGTCTATTAATATATCTCTTTTTCATACTAATTTCCACTGAAAAGTTTTTTTTTTTTAAGTTTCATTTTTCTACGCAGTATTGACTTTGAGTACATACTGAAAGCTTTTTGTTGAACACTCAAATAGCAAGCTTTCTGGGTTCACTTTTTTCATGCCAAGCAATATACATGCAATATTTATTTCTTAAAATTGCTTACTTTCACAATCTCACTCAGTTCTCCTCAACTTTATTCAACCTTATCCTATTCTAATTTTCGCTAATCGTGCAAATAAAAATAAATGACTAAAGCTTTTCTATATCAGTATTCTACTTCTCAACTAAATCTCTGAAAGAGAGTAGAAAGTTTAAGTCAAGTCTGTGTTTTTTGAGTGAAATATCAACTGAGATATGCTTTCTACTTGTTTACTCAGAACTTGAAAGTCACTATACATATGATACATAAATTTTTCTATATCTACATAATATTTACTTACGTTATCGCATTCATTCATCCAGCAATCATACGTTTTATAAGATTATTATTTTTATTACGAATAATAGACTACTAAAGCTAGACCAATCGTTCCAAGTTTGCAAAGAAACTAATTTAATATGAAAAAGCTGTCAAACTCAAAAAAAACTACCCTCTTTTGCAGGCAAATCTTGACAAGTAATGCTGTGTAACTAACAATTAATAATTCATTTCAGTATACTCAATAGTCAAGAACGAGATCAACATTTTTGAAACAGTTCTACTCTCGATATAGTCTCTAAAAAACTAATTTCATCGTTCGCAAACAACATGAAATATATCTTAACTACATTACTATAGTTCTAATATAGTTTAAAAGGTTTGATTCCAAATACGGCACTCTCTTACTATCTATTGAGGTATTATAGTTGACTTTCTGTTTGCATTTACATTAAAATCGATGCTTCTGCTTGTGGCACACACTTTAAATGATACAAATGTGTATTTTAATTAGAAATGGCATGATAAAAAATTATTTATTTCCGTAAACATGACAAACAACAAGAAAAATAATAAATCTATGCATTGTGATGACTAAATAATTTCATCGCTTTTGGATGAAACAATTCCTTTTCAACTGCTTAACTTCTGCAAACAGATGAACTAATTTTTTGAGCTATTTCATTACAAGCAAGTTTTTGTTTGGGTTTAAGTTCGAATTAGATCACCTATGAAACGAAAAGAAATTAGAGCTAGTCCTAATTCATGCAGAGATGATTAGGCACAATTGTATAAGCCAAGCACATCTTATGAAGTTGATACAGATTGTTGCTGAACGTTTTTGCATGCATGATTAAGGTGGGCATAAATTAGCACACCAATTTCACGATGACCATTTTCCACTGCTATTGACAGAGCTGTGGAACTATCCTAAAATTGAAAAAATGATAATATTAATCTTTCGTCTGTAATTATGCTTAATTATTTTTATTATTGATGTTATCATTTGTAGTGAACTTATTGATATGTCATGAACTTTGATTTATTAAACACTGTTAACCATTTTGCTTACAACATAAATTGAAAAATAACTTGGACGACTATTACTGCTAATTATTTTAAATGGAAAAATCAAAATTCTACATTGAAGTTTTCTGTGAAAATAATGCATGAAGTTCATTTCACTGATTTCCACACTTAAATAAATCCTTACTAGAAAGATCGAAAAGTTTTTTAATTATATCTTCACGTAATATAATATTATGCAAGAAATGTATGAAATATAAAAGCAAAGAGAGATACGCAGTCAGAAAGTGAAGCATTAATTTGTGGTTGTTCGAGCAGCAATTTCACGATTTCTTGATGACCGTGCTCAGCAGCACACATCAGAGCCGTAGAACCTTCCTCATCCTTAGATTTGAATGTTTAAATAGTTAAAAAATAATTATTATCAAATAAATAAATAATCATAGCATTTTAACTTTAAAGACTTTACACCATAACTTCTATTTAAATGAGTAAAACCTGTATATTAAGGTCTGCTTGACAATCTATTAATAATTTTGTTGTTTTTATTTTGCCATGTGAAGCGGCCAACATCAATGCTGTTTGTCCATGCTGCAGCATAACAAAATATTTACAAATATACAACAGTAAATGGGAAATTCTTAGTTATTTAAAAATAAAATCAGCACGTTTTTATTAGTATATTATGAGTTTATTTCCAGTATAATTTATCCCAAATACACATAAAATCGTTGATAAGATAAAAGGCATAGCATACTCAAACACTACTATATCCCTCATTAAAAAAAGATGAACCTGGACAGCTTGAGCATTGACATTCCCTAACTGGAAAAGTCTATGAATAACAGCACTTTCGACTTCATCAGACGCATCACAAAGTGCTGCTAACATTACTGCTGTGTATCCAGCCTAAAGATCGTGTATTCGAAAGTAAATTCTAAACTTTTTAACTTATTAGTAAAGCAATGATTTAAATTAGTAAGACAATTATTTAAAGGTATCTGCTGATAAATGATAAATTCAAGACTGTCAACTAACCTTATTTGCGCGGTCCAAATTACATACACGTGAATCTAACAAGACACTAACAACATCAAAATTACCATGAGATACTGCATAATGAAGAGAAGTATTCTCCTAAAAATTCAAATTTTAATTACTCAATTATGTAAGAAATACAAATTATTCATTATAAAGTATTGGCAATAACAGAAAAGCAAGGTAATAAGTCTGAAAAATGAGATCTTTTGAATAAATTTGTGCTTTAGTTTATTCTAGTTAAGTTCCGTTCAAAAAAAAAGAGGTACATTAGGATCCGTAAGATTCACGACAAATTTGAGCACATCATTTGATGTCGCTTTCAAATAGTGGATAAAACCTTCTACTTGAACAGATGAGGCTGTTTTTCGAGCTGCTGTTTTCAACCATTCATGTTTAGTGAACTTTTTAGCCCACTCCTAAAAACTGCATTTCAAAATTCAAATATTCAGTTTTTCAGACTGAAATACGAAAAATAATCAGCTTTGGCTCATTTTCATAAAATCTAATTAAAATCATTAATGATTTAGTTAACTTACAAACATTGCAGATTTGACAGAATCTGATTTTTCGAAATATTTGTTTAATATTTCAACTGCTTCACTAAGTTGTTCTGTTAAGTGAAATTGAACAGTACGGTTATTCTCGTTCGTATCATATGAACCTTCTGAATCAGAAGATGAACTTGAACTGCAAGCAGACTTGCCTCGTTTCAAATATTTGGCATCTTCAGAATTATTCCGTTCTTCATTTTAAGTTGTTTAAATGCTCTAAGAGATAAAGTTCAAGATTATAGCCCAAACCAATACAAACTGTATCAAAACTATTTATTTTTCAAATAAATTACAAGTCAAGTCCTACCTATCATCGAAAATGACAGGTTTGTTAGCTCTAAATGTTGTAGGTGACATTTTGGGTGGTGCATTTGGTAACACTCGAGGAAATGTTACTGCTCTCCCGTTTGAGTACGTTCGTAAAGTTCGCATTTCTGAGCGTAGCGGAGTCAAACGATCTGCTAGTTCAGCTTCCTTAATGAATTGTTCGGTAGTGTAAAAAAAATTCCCAAGTACTTTGACACAATTATGCTAATGGTTCTGCAAAATTTTAATACAAATTTGCTTTGAAAATTTAGTCCAAAAAAAAGTTCATGCAAAGAAGATTAACAAACTTCATCAGGTGACTGGGGTACAGTCTCGCCCGGATTGTACTTGCTGATTTTGGGTCGTGGTATTCGAGCAGGAACTGGTTCTGGTACTTCAGATGAAAGTATGGGTAGTGATGATGGTACGAGATCTTTCTTGAGAATCACTTTTTCCTTCAGTGCACCATTCGTTTTTTGAGGTGTTGAAGGTGGTGAACTTTTCTAAAATATTTTTCAGATCTAAAAAAGCGAATATTATGTCTGTAATTTACAATATCTCTACTTTTCATTGTTGTTAGCAATGTTTTTTGAACTTTGCTAAATACAGTGGTAAATTTATATTCAAACTTGCTTAACTTTCTTTTGGTGCTTTTTAACTTATCATTTATACTTGATAAAACCAAATTATGATGCAATGTAATTCAGTGCATTATTGGTTTTTCATCATATAATTTACAGTATGCCTATTTACAATAAACGATTTTCAAATCCAATAGACATTGACTTGAAAATCATTTCTTGTATGACAAATAAATGAAGAAAAATAACTCTGATATACATCTAGACAGCATTTTTTTTTTAACATAATCAGAATCTGAAAAATTTGGAAACTTCTTTTTTACTCATAGTATTAATGCATTACTGTTTTTAATGTCTATTTGATCTCATTAAATGTTTTGTTCGCTTTTTTTTTTTGGAATTTGAAGGTATTATTCTAATCTCAGAGTATGAACTAGCCGTTGCTTTATGCTGATCTGCGATGTACTGAAGCGAGTTTCCTTTCCTGCTGGATGATCGGCATGATTTTGATATCACAGCACCGCGAATAAAACTTAACTGCGGCGATTTTTCTGTAAGCATTTTCTTGACAACAGCAGCTCGAGCATGACCTAATACTCGAGACTCACTCACTTTTACCCCTTCTTTTGTTTTTAGCGATATTAAATTTGGATCGTTCACTATATGTTGCTTCATCGGCAATTTTTCTTCAGAATGAAAACTTTCGAAGTCAACTGCTTCAGGATCAGATAGTGATTCCTCCATCACACAAACCTGCGTAAGTTATTTGTAGTATATTTATAATGCACTACTTACACACTGAAATTACTCCTTCAATGAATGCATTCATGACTTTGAATTATAAATAATTATGTCTTTGATAAAGCAAATTGCTTGCAATCATATTTATATAATTAGCGCATTCACAATTTGCTTTGAAAAAGAAAAAGCTGAAGTATTTTGGAATAATATAAAGGACTAAAAAAAAAAAACCAAGATTTTGAAGAAATCTTGGAAAGTTTGACCTATTGACATACCTCATCTTCATCTATGTCCAGTAACAGTACTTGATGTTGCAAATTCTGACTTATGACATCATTTAGCATTAAGTTTTCGATCACATCCTCATTACCAACTGCTACATCTTTTCTTTCCTTAGTTGGAAGTAACCAAAGTGATTCAGCTATTTCCGTATCGTTAAGTATTCGTGGTTCACTTTGCTCTGGTTCTACATTGTAATTATTTTTAGTATTGAAAAAGTATACTACTTTCTTTCTTATTTTTCTTCTAAAATGAAAATGATCGGGTAAATATTTACAGTAATAGTAGAACTTAAACTACTGCTTGAATAAATTATCCTACACTTAAACCTATTAATGTTTTCAATAAAAAAGGTAGTCAAATTGTCATGATTTTTCAATTTAACATGAAAATGACTTTCGTACTTTGCATATTCAATAAAACAAAAAAAAAAAACAAAAAAGTTGAAAGAAACCAAATTCAGTTTGCGATGCAACAGTATTGCCATAAACTGCCTGCTCGTTCATTTCCATATTAGGCAAATTCTCATCACTTTTTTCAGTTAGCAAATCATCATAAGTGGTGCATGAATCCTTCTTGACAATTTGTTGCGCATCCACACCTCGAGTTACCATTGGAGTCGGTATGGTGCAGACACTTAGTGATCTGTAATAACAAATAAGTAACGCTGGAAATTATATATAAAACTTGAGAATTTCATGGGCAAACATGACAATAGATAGTATTCAATTCAAGCTTTTGAATAGATTTAAGATACAGAAATCAGCTTACGTCGACAAATAATGCAAATAAAATTTAAATTTATTGTTGCTTAACTGAAACATTTTTTGTAAAAGCAAAAAAAAATGAGTAGCAAACATAACTTGTGTTAATCTGTGAAGTTTGAATCGAATGGGAGTGATGCATGATTGGAAGAGTCATCGTAAAAGAATCTTTGACCGCAATAGGATCCGTAGCACTTGAGATATCACATACTGCCAACGAAAAATCATTGCCACAAGCACAATCTATTCACAATTCAAATTCTTTAATTAACATTATTATCATTACTAACAGCTTTAATTCTTTAATTAATATATATTATTATTATCATTACTGATTACTAGCATTATCATTACTGATAGCAAAAAATTTTTTATACTGGAAACAAATTTATGCCTTTGAATTTTCAAAATTTGTGCTTCAAATTTTCAGTTACAATTTATTCCCTTACCAACAGTAGTAACTGAATCAGCGTATGAATCGTTATTATGTGACAATTTAGGAGCAAGCAGATACTTATCCGGCAAATCAGTGGCAACATCTTGACGTGATGTAAGAAGTAGTTGATCATCTGTAGAAATTGCAATGGAGTAGAATCTTGGTTGAGGAACTGGTGAAGTAGCCATATCCGTGAACAAATCTCCCATTTGATCGATCAGTGAGATATTCGTACCCTAGAAAATATCCCTTACACTGATATTTGATATTTTCAGTTTCGAAGAAAAAAAGATAGATTATACTAACTAAAATTTGCTTTCCTTTGTTAATACCTATACACTTTAGTAAATTATTAACTAATTAATTAATTAATAAGCAAACAACTAAATGAATAAAAGTATGAAGCTAGCAGTTAAATTTCACAAAATATTTGCCTTAAATCAGAATGAATCAATAGTTGACATGACTGCAGTAAATGAGCTAATCTTCTATTTATGCTTATTTTCAAGTCCTAAAAAGTGATCCAAGTACTTTTGAAAAAAATACTTTTCTTTTTTAATCGTAAATTATAGAATTTTATAAAGATAATTTCTAAACTTTTAACATTTTACTAACTAAAAATGTTCAGAAGAAAATAATCAGAGCTATTTACTGGTACATTGTTGTCTTGCTGCCAAATAATTAAATCTGGAAGTGAATTTGAGCAAAACTTATTTTGCCTTTTGCTGACCTGGCTAAGTAGTGCAGTAAACTAAACTATTTGTTATCAACAGTTCTGATTCTATAAATTAAAAAATAACTTTAGAAAATAAAAATTCCAACTTCATCCTCAATTATTGCAGACAAGCAAATGCTTACAGTATCATTTTGCTCTAACTTTATGGTCTGAACAGCAGCATCAGACATTTCTGCTGATAATTTGTATAGAGACCGATCCGTTATCAATGTTTTCTCACGTTGATTATTCAATTCATTGATTGATCTCAATTTAATTTCTTCTGTTGCCTCTTGTAATCTAAATTTCCTGATTTTTTCTCAAAAAAAAATCAAACATTTATTAAATATTAAGAGTATTTTAACTATAATTCAATAAAGATTGTACTGAATTTGCCCATATAAAATCTAGGAGTAATTATTAGACAACATTAAGTTTTGTAATTTTGTTAAAATGATTAAAGCATTTTGACAACGTTTCTAAAAGAAAATTAAATAGAAATTGCGTCAATCATTTTATTACATGCATTTATGTGAAGTCATCAAGTAATTACAATTATAGCATTCAAAATTAACCATAAATAGCAATTTAACAAAAAAATTTCAGGGTATCAGCGAAAACCTTTTACGCAGACAAATGCGACGAAAATTGACCTGAGAGATAACTCATAAAATTGCTTTTTGAGATGATAACATTGTACGCAAGATTCATTCGTTTTTGTCATGCCATTAAAATCGTTTGTACCAATTTTTGGAGTAGTGTGATCATTTAAGTTCCATGAATCTTTGCTACCATTTCTACAAAATATGGTTTTCTTACGAAGGCTATTTTGAATACATAATGCTTTTGCACAAAACTGAATTCAGTACATGTTTTCTAATTTTTTTTAAAAAGTGATTGATTGCAGCTGATTGAAAAATGCTCAGAGAAAAAGTATAGTTGAAAATTAATAAAATGTAATTCTTCATTCAAACTTTTACAGTACCTGTAAATTGTAATTGTTGTTTTCAAATTTATTCACTTATTTATTGGTGCTAAATATTTATGAATAAATTTAAGTTGTATTCAAATATTTGACTTCTTCATTGTTTATGATTCGTTTATAACTCAATTAAACATTTGAAATGAATAGAAGAGCGAAATTTTTTAGTTTTCCCACTATATTTACATTTTGGAAGGCAAATTCAATTTGTAATCGGTCTCATTTGACATAGTGCTCTCTTCAATTTTAAAAAAATTTAATTTAATTTCGCTCTAAAAATAGTTACTTCCACAAAGCATATTAAAAAATCATTAAGTACAGAATGATAATAAAAGATAACTAACTAACTTACCCATTAATATTTTTTATGCAATCTGATGCTGTTTCTGTATTGTTTAGATTGGTTGATGTCAAGTACTCCTTCGGTAGTTGCGGTGGATTTCTACCATAATATTGTGGCGTACACGTACTCATTCGTAATCGTTCCTATGAATTTCCAGCATTAGATTTAAAATTGCAAGTAAAAAATTTGTCCTCTAAAAAAGTTTACAAGTTGTGAGCAATTAAAATATTATTGCTTAAGTTTTCACATAAGAAATGAAACTTTCATGAAGAAAAAATAAATTCAGTTTAAAAAATAACAAAATGATACATCTAAAAATATGTAAAAACCAACCGAGAAAAACGAGCAGTTCCTGTGATAAGGTAATGGTGTACTATTAGTAGTCATGGGTTTATGACTATCAGCTGGTTTACGACGCTTCATACTAATAAAACCATCGATATCCACAGCGCTGCATGAGCGTTGCACTCCTGAACGAATTCTCCATCGAGGGTGAGATGTAGATTCTGTATCACTCTGATACTGATTCTCTGATGAACAAATTGTAAATGAAGGCCTCAAATTTTTGTTGCCACAGCCACTGATGCTGTTACCCACGTTGTAAGCTCTATTATCGTTGCACATTAAACGATTATAATCCGTCTGCAAACTGACTTTGGGCTTAATTCAGTACTAAATAATTATGCAGTCTTTTTTTTGTCAAAATTTTCATGCAGATAAGTCTGTTATTCTGCCAAAGTATTAATTCGAATTCAAGTACTCAATTTCTATTCTTATTTCGTTTGTCTTCATTACACTTGCTAATTTAATTATTTATGATAAATCACTTTCTTTTGTTGAATATTAATCAAACTATTAAGCAACACCAATATTAAACCGTTTGGTGCGATGGTAGAAAACGATCACATGCATTTTTAACTTCTTCTTGCCCACCATAGTTACTTCCATTTAATAATGATTTTTTTAATTCATCACTGTATTGATGTTTTGATTTTATTTCTGAGATTGTACGACCCAAAGCAGTTTGATAAGCTACAAAATAATTCTAAATAATAAGCTATATAAATTTGAATAATGAAAAGCAAAAAAATGACTACAAACTTTACTGATAAGATAGTTCAGCAAAAATTTGCTTGAAATTAATCAAGAGTAAAGATAACATTCTTAGGGTTTTTATTTTTTTCAAATTCAAAACTAAATGAAAATGAAAACTACTTAGTTTAAAATATTCTTACAATATTCAATAATTTAAACTGCATTAGCAATTATTTCAAACAATGTACATCTCATTGAAATCAATTTTTAATTGACGCTAACAATTTTCTTGTTCATTTTTATTCCGGTACACCTTAATGAATTATTTCAATACTAATTATAACTGTTGAACAGAGTCAATTTTGTAATTTGAAATACTACGATGAATAGCTTATGACATAAATGGCATAAACGCATAGCAAAATTAGCAATGAACAACAAAATTGCTTGAAAATTAGAAATGAACAACAAAATTGTAGAAGACTAAGTAGGAATTAAATTAATTTCGTCCCATATGCTTATCTTGCATTCGCTGAAAACAACACTAAATTTTTTGTTATGGAATGTAGTAAAGTGTTTTGCTTTTCAATATAATGATTTGCATATACTTTTATAGTGGTAGAGTAACACTTCTACATAAATGCCGTTTGTATTAGCTTTTAATTTAGCCTATCAGAATAAGCTTCAGTTATATACTGACAACCTTTGTCTCGCATACTTTTCTTGCAATTTTAATTTTTTTAGTAGCAGTGTATACTTTCCAGCAAAAATTTGGTCTTATGCTTGAATAGATTTATTATTATCGGATTAATAAGTAGAATTTAGTTAAAACTTTATATTACCGTGTTGTTGTGTCTCACTTGTTGGTAACGGTAGTTTTTTTGAAGCTGCGGGCATCTCTGAAACTAGCATTAGCATAATTTTCTAAAGTGATAAAGTATTGCCATAGCCAAGAGTATGTTTTCAAAATATGTGTACATAGATTAAAAAACTTATAAAATTAAGACGCGTATATGCTATCAAAATATTTTGCGCATACTAAAAGTTATGTCATGAAAAAGCAAAGCAAAGTAAATCTTTCAAAACTGACCTTGGCTTGAAGCACTTTTAAGTTGATTAACTCGTATTCGTTCTATTCCTTCATCTGATAACGGCTTTGCTGGAAATGATAGAATGATTTGACTATCTTAAAATAAATTTAATAACTTTAATAACTCACTAGTACTACTGATAAAATGCGTGACTTTGATATTAATAAGTTTGAAAAATTGGACTGTTAGAGTTTTTAAGCAAAAAAATTATCTTATTAAGCTATTTTTTTCAAACAAAAGAACTTGCATAACTGAAACTTTCTGCATATTTAATGGTTTTATTTGCGTACATTTTAATGTCTAGCGTAAAACTTCGTGAGATATTAACTTCACGTATTGACTTTCTTTTTGGTTCGCAGAATTTGAATATTTGCATATCCTTTGATATTGCTACTTATTTACACCAACTTTAAAGACTTTTGACTATCACAAAAATTTTGCTCACTTCGCTCCCAAATTAACTCAGAATAATTCTACAAATACCCCTCAAAAGCTACAGTTTTGCAAAAGCAATTATTGCTTTTCATTGAGCTAAAGAAAATGATACATAGCGAAAGCATTTTTAAGATTGCATTTGGAACAAATGTTCATTCATACTTTTAACTTTTAAGAACTCATTTTTCCAACTCTTAGTGCTTAAATTGCTAATATTCATATAAAATATTGCTTTAGTGCTGTAAGTCTTGACATTTCAATTTATTTTGGATTACTTATTATTGATTATTGTGAATAAAATTTTGATGCAAAGAAAAACGAGGAAGATCTGACAAGGGTACTATTAGTCACATATGCATTGTTTATCTTCTTTAGCAAACTCCTGCGAATATTATTACGGTTTTGTTCAGTAAATGTGTCATACTGTCAAACGTATGATGTTAGGTCACGCTTGGCATCTTCTGCCAGTAAAAGTAGCAAAAAACATTTGCCCAAAAAAACTTCTTTTTTGATCATAACATTAATATTATGTAATGTTGAGATAAGAAGTAAAAATAAATAATGAATCAAAAACAAATAATCTTAGAAGTTAGTTCCATATCTTACTTACTTTAAGTTATTAACTAAAACAAGTGTCAAAATTCAAGCAAAGTAATCTTTATCTAATATAAAATCTATAAACAAATATTGACCTTCCTCAAGTTATAAAAATAGTCAAGTATGATCAGAAGCTTCGCTTCATAAATATGAAAACTTTTTCTCAATTTGGTTAGTTAATAATACAGATTAACGAAGCAATAGTTCTGTTTTTTAATAATAAATTAAAGCAAATTCAGCTTAAAACAGAAGTTTTGGCATTTAATTTATATGGGGTCCAAAATATAATAGTACTTCCAGTAATTTGTGCAGAGCTTACATGTTTTTTTAAGTAATGAGTGGCTGTAAAATTGAAGTGTACTGTAATCTGAAAGGTAACCATTGGTGTGCACATTTTTTCGGTTGTTGTTCAATCGAGTAGCTGATTCTCGATCAGAACAGTTTCCTCGCAAATTCAAAGTTTCTTCAAAATCGCTCACTACATTTTCTAACGAATTGCTGAAAAATTCAATAACAACGTTGAGCAGCAAATTAATTTCGCTACGCTAACATTTAGCACTGCAGACGATAATAGCGAAACCACACGTTAAAGACTTACACATTTAAATTAACACAAAGCATCAGTATTTGAAAATTGTTTTTTGTTTTTAAATGGTGCTCAAATATATATAACAAATCTATATTATTTGTACAGAATGAGACCAGCAGAAATTATCAAATCTATAACAATTCCAAACGTTGAAGTAACTTGCGAAAATTGAAAAGATTGCAATTTCAAGTTATATTTTCGTAAAGTGACTAATATTAGAATCAAATAAAAATTAGCTGCGATACAATGCGATTTGCGTTAGATACTAGAAGAGGTAAAGCAAAACGATTGATTTTCGCTCCTATTAAAAAATCAAATACAATTATATAAGTTGCTTAATCACTCACTTGTATGAATACTAAAAAATTGTAAGACCTGAAAATAGAATTTATGGGAGTAACAACAATCTTGCCGGCTGGTTGATTATCATTTTTATAACATCTATTATTTGTACTTGCTTGAACATTTGCTCTTTTGACCTTTTTTGATTCGTCTTCAACATTCTGCAAGGATGACACAATTTCTTCATATTATATCACTTTCGGCATTCAAATAGTTCTACTCAATTTTGTCAAAAATAGAACAAATTTTTATTAAAGTTTATACACAGCCTTTTAAAACTTAAAATTTTATTACATCAATCTTTCAGCGCAATAAGTTTATGATTACCCATAAATAATTATAAAATGTCTAAATTAGTTCACATATTAATATATGTGTATATGCTGATGTGTATTTTCAAGTGGATGATTTTCACTCTAATGTTTTATTATACGAATTTAGTATTATTACAAAGATATTAGAATAACTGCAATTGCACAGAACGACATTGATTATAGAAATAAATTTAATCTTATAAAAGTTTAAACTTGAAATTATGCATATGTTACGTATACTGTAGAACTTGCAGTACTGAATCCTTTCGCCACATTCTCTACATAATCCACGAATCCAAGATCTATGTGGAATCCATAAGGACAACAGTTACATTTTGAAGCTTTGGAGGTCGACAACTGATCCAAATAATCACTTGTTTTCGTAGTCGCCATAGATAATTACAAAATTTTTTTTCAATCTATTTTCCACCAAACCACATAAATACTTTAATTCTCCCAATAACAAGTTAATTGATACCCGGGATCCATTAATTTAATTACATTCATTACCTGAATTTATCCATTTACAAAGTTATCAAACAAAGAAATAAAAAACGATTATATAGTACGATTTATCATTAACGAAATAAATAATTGCATATGTAATAGGTACTATAAAATAAAAATGTATATGAAACGGGAATGAATTAAAGGGTAAAGCTTTTCTTAAATTTGATTCAAATTAGATGAAAAGAATTAAATGATAGTATAATAAACGGAAATGAATTGAAGAATGAGTTTAGAATCAATGATTATTACTGGCATTGTTTGAAGCAGTTTTTAATCATTTCCTCTTCATTATCAGATCATGTCATTTCATTTCATTCTAATGAGTCAAATATGAGTAACACTGAAGATAAGAGAAACTCACAGCAGAGCTAGAGCTTTAATAAAGTAATTTGAATACAATTCACGAGAAGTTTATGTAGTTGAGTAATTACTTTGAATGTTTAGGTAGTAATGAGGTGTTTTCAAACAATAATTTCACAGAGTTAAAAAAGTAGACAGGTCACTTTACACATTAAACAGTTACAAAAAAATTGCAATAGTCATAAGTAGTTAGCTTTTTTTAATGTTATTGTTGCAATAAGTAGCAAATAATCTACTTGACTAACATGAATGAAGCAGATAATTTGATTACAACTTTCAGTCTTGAAATAAATTAAATTTCATGAAAGTAAAGTATTGCTGTTAGAGTAGAAATAAAACTGCTCAATACATAAGCAATGAATAGAATGGCAAAAAATTAAAAGTATTAAAAGTAAAGGACAAAAATGTTTAGGAAGCAATTTTATAGCAGTGTTATTAGTTAGAGCAGTAGCTTTCTTCTGCACTACCTCTATGCCAAATAGCATCTAATCAGCACCATATGCTTTGCGGTACTGCACAAATTCAAAAAAAGTTGTTACACGCCAAGAAGTAAGCAGAAAAGCTAAGATACTACTTGATTGTTTTGGCAAGAAGTGCTGCTGTGCAAAAAAGATTGAAAATGATAAAAAGAAAAATCTAAGCAAGAAATACACCTGTGGTATTGATATGTTTCAGTATTATCATTCAGCTTTTCTCAAAGATCATCCTAAACTCATTACTTATCGAAATGTCAATTACAGAAAAGTTATTATATTTATTATGCTTTCACAAGTAAACGATTGATTCAAATATATATCGTGCTGAAAAACTGTCGTAAAAATGAAATTCATTTTTATCTACCAAGTAAGCATCTACTGCTATTATTTGCTAGTCATGTACTCTACTATAGTTAGTTGAAAAATTAATCAGATAAAGAGTTTCATTTAAAAAAAATATTTAATCGAATTATTATGACTTATTTATGTACAGCATGACTACTATTTGGATGTGCTGTAAAGTCCGATAAACTATAATGATAATAATTAAAATAAGTATTGCAGTGTATTTTATTTTTGAGTGATGAAGATTTGCAAGCAAAAATAGTATAAGCTTAATGATTAATCTTTAATAAAGTCTACTGTCTGTTATTACCTTTAAAAATAAAATATCAAAGTTTCAAGAATTAGTTGTTTCATATCTAATTTGCTTGCTTTTGATTACAATTACAGCCTAAAAATCAAGTGCTAAAGTCTTATTCAGCTTTTGAAAACTCAGAACTAAGTTTGTATGGTTAAGACTTACAGTAATTTATTATTAATGACTAATAAAATGTTATCAGCTTTATGATAGAGCTATAAAGCTAACAAAAGCTGAATAAGATTTGAAACAAAAACAAACATGTACGAACGAGAAATATATACAGTGATAAAAATTAGAATTTTAGAATTATAATTAAAGAATGAAAAACGTGATGGCTTACAATAGAATATAGGCGATACTTTTTTCCTTCTAAGATTCAACAATTAATTAGATTGCTCAGTAAAAAAAAAACTCTTCTTAGAGCAATATACTGTGTATTAAAGTTGGTAAATACTAGTATGTGGTACAGATTAACGAATTTATGTAATTATTTATTAACTAAATGTTAAGCTATTGAAAATCAGTGTGATCATTTACAGAATAAAAGTATTTTTCGTATTTATTAGTCTTGATTTCAAATAAAAATAGTAAGCTAATGAGAGTAATACGGAATATGTCTTTTATTCTTCTATGGAAATTGTTTTCAAGATATTTTTGACATCTGTATTTCAACACTTTTATGATAAGAAGGAATAATTGTTTTCTGATACAATTAAGCGATTAATTACTATGTAATCAATTATAGAATTCAAATTGCGATATCGCACGTAAAGAAAATGCTGAAATCAAGTATAAGCAACAAGCTTTCTTCATAAACTTTTCTATTTCTTTATCATTCTTTAACTTATTTTAAATAATTTGCATTAAAAAAATTTTTGCACAAGTAAAGCGTTATCAATCTTTTTAACTTTTTGATAGCATTTATGATTTTGAATTATAATTAATCATGTATTTAATGAAGCAAATTGCTTACTATCTTGATTATATATTTAGCATCATTTACTTTGCAAAAAAATAAGCACAATTATTTTGGATTAATATAAGAATTGAAAAAATATCTAATAAATAATTAGATGTTTTAGTTTGCAACCAACAAAAACTTCTGATTAGTATGTGAGTTTGATAGCATAAATCATTGGTACTACCAAGCAGATTCCAATTTATAACTTTAATTCTTAGAAGAGTGTGCTAAGAATATGTGCAAGTCTAAATTAAAGTAAAAAAGCACTGCATTGCAACATCAATCAAATTATTATTGATGAAATATAATTTACTAAAAGTGATAAATAAGTCAGATGGAAGGAAAAATAGAAGAATGTAACGAAATGATGAGGGCTTATTAGTCTCGGCAAGTCGAGAATCGCGACCTTGGCCTAATGGGAAAAAGTTAATTATAAGGCAATGAAATTACTCAAAGCTGGTGAAAATAATGTACAAATTTTAATGCATAATGTAAATAAATGTTTTTATCTTTATAACAGAACTCTGCTGATAACAAAACAGAAACATTTTTTAAGGCACATTTTTAAAACTGAAAATGTGAAAAGTGAAATGGAATAATTAGTGAATTTGAAAATCAAAAACTCACTTGAGCTTTTTTATAAACAGCAGTAAATCAAATATCTATAAATTTAAATTTTCGCTGCTTCTTACTCTTTAAAAAACCTCAAAGATGAATTCAATACGTCTCAAAAACAATCTAAAAATTTTAAGCACTTAAGAAAAATTAGACTTGAATGAAAGTTATTTGAAAGTTATAATTTTTTAGATAAATCTATCTCATCATTTTGTATTCGAGAAAAATGATCCCAATACATTGAAGAAATGAATTTAAATTTATAAAACAGATGCGAAAATTTAAATTTATAAAACAGATGCGTAAAAAAAGTTTAAACACTCTAAAACTAAATTTTGATTTTCATTTATCTATGTTGGAAAAAATAACTGATAATCACTTGCAATTGCAAAGTTATGCCCTGTGCTTGAGTTTTTGAGGAATCCTATAAAATGTTGCTATAAAATTGAGACTTTAACACTTCAAATTTTTATAATTGCAAAGAGTTAATTGTTTTATTTGCATAATTACAAATGATTATCAGAAACTCAAAATTCTGCTCAAAATTTAAACTTTGATGACAAATAGTTCATTGACTGCTGTTTTTGATCCGCGCTATATTACTTGTTAATTAAGTGCATAAACTGAAATTAAAGACAAATTTATGACAGTGTGTTGAATTTAACGTGTTTCTTCAGTAATATATCTTGTGCATTCATATATTTCGAATCAGAAAGAATTTTGGTGGTTATTGAAATGTGTAACTCAACAAACAAGTTCTTGTTGTGTGATAACGGACGCCCAATTACAGTGATAAAATATTTTGGAATGAAACAATATCTTTGAAATAGTACGGAGAGTAAAGAAAATACACTTGCCATTTTGGATAAATTTACTCATTTGATAAGAAGGAATGAAATGATGTTAATAATACATACGTCATGATAAATTTGCGGAATTCACAAACTTTCATTAAGAAAGTGATAAAACTGTTCGAATTATATCGAAATTACCTTCAAACACAAGTAATTGAAATTGGATTTCACCCTTTTATGCGTGAGGTCATGGAATTCAATGAATTTAAAGTAGATTTAGAATAAGTGGGATGATAATCCAACTCGGATTGTAAGGCGACTATATAAATTCCAGACAAAAAACACTTTTGCCAAATGACTAAGCAAAGTTCTAACAGTCTATCTATAAAAGATATTGTTAATATTCTTTATAATACTCATCAAAACAAGCTTAACAAGTTTTCAATGCATAACAACTACTATGTAAAATAATATAGTTGATATTTCATAGCATTAACAATACTAGTAACTAAAAACGAAGTAATCATCTCTTTCTCTCTTACCTAAAAACAAACTAATTTCGGTATTCTATCGAATTCACAACGATGTTGGCAACGAGGTTGATGATAGGAATGAAAACTGGTCGGTAGTTTGGATCACATTTGCGGTTGGAAATATATGCACTACCCAACAGTTTCTCCCTTCACCTGTATGTTTGTTTAATACCGCAATGCTACTACTACTACTGCTCAAATTCATTCGTCCTCACACTATTTTAATATTGAAATTAAAGACACTAGAGAGTAGTCTAACATTTTTTTTCTACTTTTTACAGTTTCATACTTTTCAACATTATTGCGCAATTATCAAACGAGCCAAAATAACATTATTAT